TGCAAGTTGCAAGTTGCTAGTTTTTGTTGCTAGTGGCTAGTTGCTGATGTTGCCTGAGCTTTGGTTTATGTTATTGTTATTGTTTCTGTTGTTGTTATGGCCGGCGGACACATATCCTTGTGTTCAATCAAACCAAAGCGCCGTCAACGCGACGGACCTGGGCCTTAGATTTCAAGTCATGCAGTCGGAAAAAATATGATGGAAGTTGTCTGTAACTTAGTTATTTAGGTTAAAGGTATTTTTTTTAAATATTTGTGGAATTTGTAGTTAGAAATTATGGTTATTAAAGAAAGATAAAGATTCAATTTCTTATAGAACTCATCATGAACGGGTAAAGGTAATTTCTTTCATCATACCTTATGCTTAAAAAGGTTCCTAATAAAATTATTATAACTCTAAATTAGAGCTCTTACTATAAAATTTAATAATTTAATTGAAAAATAATATATAAATCTTTCAATTTTTTAAAGAACTATAATAGATTTGTTATAAGAGTAAAACGGAAAATATAGTACATGCTCTTATGGATATCTCTGATGATCTTAATCATCAAATCGCTTTTTAAGCTTTCGTTTCGTTTTAATAACTTAAAATTTGTTAGTTCAAAATTAATATTTTAACTTAAAAATACCTAAATGAAATTCCTAAACCCTTATCTTTAAAAAACCAAATACCTAAAATATTTTTCCGTGTCTTCTGAATCCCGGATTGGGAAACCAAAAAGCCTGGCTTTCGGAGTCAAGTGTTTTTTGTAGCTTGAAGGTTGTTTTCAACTACCTCCCACTGAAGGCTTGGACCACTGCACCACCCTCCCCCAGCATCTGCATACCACCACCCCCGCTACACCCCCATCCCCATCCCTATACCTCTACCAATTGCCCGTGGGGCAGAAACATGCGGCAAACATTTTTAGCGCTTGTAGTTGCCATGAATTTTTATGCAAATGAAAAATGTTTCTTGCGATTTCCATTTTTTATTCAGATGCTTTGTTTTTGTATCTCAGTAAGTGTGTGTATGTGTGTTATTTTTGTTACTTTTTTTGCAGCCCATTACTGTGATGCAATTGCCGCAAGTAACAATAATCTTGATGTATGATTTTTTCTCCTTTTTATTCGGTCTTGGTTGCCGCTGTCTCTTATTATTAGAAAAAAAAAATCGCAAAAGGGGGAAATCTTGTAAGCCTATCGTGTTGTTGGCACATTTTCGCGTTTAGTTTAATTTTTTTTCGAATTTTTTTTTTTGGGGGGGATTTGGTTTGATCTTATAACCGCCAGCGATGCCACAGCAGCAGCCGCAACCACAATGGACGAGCTTCATAAACTCTTAACGCTGTCCATTTCAAAATAATCAATAATTTTTGGCTATCGATGGCAATTTATTACTATTTATACCCCCAGTCTGGCAAAAGTTATACCAGCTTTGTTTTCGCTTTTCGGTTTTCTGCCCCCGAGGCCCCCAAAACACTAAAGGAGAGGAGCAAATAAATTAACACTTCCTTAAACGATAAACCCCCGAAAATCGAGAGAAATGCATTGGGAAATCAACATGAAATGCCAATTGATAATGCCAGTGTGTCGCTGGAGCCAATGTTGCAGCGGGGGCGTCACGAGTTTGCCTTTCGATTCGTTTATTAATTTTAATTGCAACGGGGTGTTAACGGCCCCCGGCGTATCCAGCCCACGGATAAGCTGAACAAATTGCAAACATCACTGCCCCTCTTGGAGGATGGAGGATGAAAGTGGGTTGCGCGTGCTCGAGGGGCTGTGGCATTTTCCAGGGGTGGGGGCCTTGATCTTGGGCCGACTTTATGGGGATGTGTGGGATGTGGGTGGCAGGGTGTATGTTTGTTAAACCAACATCATGTTTTTTCTGGGATATAGATACAAATAGCTTAAACGAGTCAATTCATATATGAAACTCAACAAATCAAGTTCAAGTTGGGGGTTGTACAAGGCATGTTTTGAAATGAAAAATAGAAGAAACTAATAGTTTCTTTTTATGTTAGTTTAATAGTTATGTTTTTCAAAGAGTTAGTCGAGAAAATAGGTATATTTTCGTAGGTATAGGGGTTTTAATAAGGCCTTTCCATATCTATATTACAAGGTATCAAGCCCCATAAAATCTATAAATCGACCTCAAGCTTAAGGTCTATAACTTGAAACTAGAAATTCCAAATCCTTTAGAGTTTGTATTAAAAACACTCTTATAATTTTAGTTTCTAGATCTTGTAATTGCTTTTTATAAGATTAGGACATTTTATAATGCATTTAATTCCAGAAACATTAACTTTAAAACCTTTAAGACATTTAAGCTTGGTGTAAAAACGTTTACTAATTTTTTAAGCCAATTATCATTAAAGACCAAGTAGTTTGAGAACTTATTCATAAAAAAAATTGATTAACCCATTGGGTTTTTTTTTTAAATCTAAAAGAAAATAGATACTTTATAAGGTTTTTGGCTGAATTTTGTTAATCAAATAGACGTCTCTGATATAAAAACTATTAAGCCTAAATTTTCAGATGGCAGTACGTAACTAAAATGATCCATTTATTCACAAAGAATATGTACATATATCAACAATAATTCGTTGAACTTTTATTGACTGACTGTCAGACCTCTCTTAAAGCAATATTCCTCATCAAACATAACTGAGATAAATTGGATTAAAGAACCTTAAATATTGACATTAAATGCCAATAAAAAACACATAAAATCTCCATTTATTTTTCAATTAAATCTTCCGCAAATATTTACATTTGTTTACTCTGATTCCAAAGTACATATGATTTTTATGTAAACTCATACGATAAAGCCCTGACCTTCCATACAGCCTTCGGAGTCTGAATTGGCAACTGAGTTCAGTGCCAAATGGCCACATTTCGATTTTGAATGACTCGCGCCATCTGCTTGCCACACCAGGGCAGAGTGGCAGAGTGCAGTTGCCATATAACCATATATATATATTTGTGTTTGCCGACCATCTTTCATATTTGTTTATCTAGCCCCAATTTGGCTACTGCACTGAGAAATTTATGAGCAGGGCGTTGCTGCCAAACAGCCCCGAATGGCTGGAATGGCAAATGCCGGAGTGGCGAAATCAAATGGAAAATATATAATAAAGAGGCGAGTGTGCCAGATGATAAGCCAAGGCAAATAAATCGCCCCACCAGCGGCAACAAAAGCCAACTGATGCTGGAAAGGGTGTGTGTGGCAGTAAGTGGTGGCACGATGGAGATTGAGTGCAGCTCCAAGTGACGCCACACAAATGAAGCCCAAAGATTAATCGCTCAACAAATTTGCGATGTGAAAGTGCGAGAGAGAGGAAAAGGCGGATTTCTGGCGACTGTTTTTTCCAAAAGCCCACTCTGCCACACAATCCACAATCTACAAGATGCATGCTTCATGCTGCAAACAGCAAACTGTGAGCTTCAAGCTGCAAAAATTTTAAATTTTCAAAACAACAAGCTGCAAGTTGCAAGCTGCGTTGTCTATGGCCGCTAATTGTCCTTGACGGTGGAGCATCCCACATGGCATTTGTTTTTTTGGTGTCTTTTTGGCTGCCGGCGTTGGCGAAAATTGCTGCCGGGTAGAGGCTGCACAGGACGAAATTATGGGGGTTCTTTGATATCTATTAAGATTTTTGAATCACTTTTTTATAAAAAAAAAAAAAGAATTTTATTTTAGAAGAATCTTTACCTAATAAGATGGACATATATCTCAACTCTGGGGGTTGAATACTTAACACCTCAGTTCTTTCCACAATATAAAACGTACGTTATGAGGCAGCGTTTCTTTCGACCATTGTGCTGGAAATATTCTGTCCTTATACCTAAAAATTAGTTAAAATACAAATAAACTACGAAAATCTACAAGATTGTTTAATTCTCAAAAAACCTAGCTAAAGTTTAAGATTTAAGGTAAATACTTAAAATAAATCCTTAAAAAAAAAGGACACATTTCTTAAAGTGTAAATGCAAAGCCGCAAGCTGCAACGGAAAGTGAAAACTTGAAAAATGATTATGCAACTGCCGCAAGGACGTTTGTGACCGAGAGGCTTGCCGCCGCTGTGCCTGTATCTCTTGGCCCGGCCGAAACGGAGGTCGTCACACACTTGGTCTGATTTTGCAGTGCCTCCTCCTCCTACCGACCCCCACTGTCTTCCTCCTTTGTCATTGTCTCCCGTCTGTTTATTATTGCAATTTTGAGGCATGCCACTACTAGACACTTGCTTCGGGGGCGTTGCTTGTCGTTGGCTTGTTGTTTTTGTGTTTCTGCCACTTTTTTTTTTTTGTTTAGAGGTTAAGTTGCAAGTAGGAAGCGTCTGTGGAGGCGCGTTTAATTTACGGGCACGATGCGGCAAGCAGGCAAGCAGCAAGCAAGGTGTGCGGCAGCATCGCTTCTCTTGGTTTTGATTTTGCTGCCTGATGGCCTGATGGCTGATGGCTGATGGGAGCGTATTTTAATTAAGTATACGCCGCGTTAACAAATGCCACCATATACGGTGAGATGATGTTGCAACTACAAGGGGAAAACACCTCATAAAATGGCAGTGAATAATTATAAAATAATTTTAAAATAATTGATTGTAAAGAAAATACATATAAACTTAATTAGGATTTAAAAAAAGACTCTGTGGCATTATATCCCCGACTCTGAGGCAACAGTTTGCTGGATGGCCTCCTCGAGCCAGAGAGGTCAACCCACAAACTCCAAAACAAAAAGCCAAACTCAATTCGAGTGGTTTAATTACCCCGTCACTCGAACATGGCCAAAATGCCAATCGAGCCAAGGCAGTCTCCCATCCCAGGTGGCCACCCAAAATGCCAGGCAGTCTCCGAGTTCGCTGGAAAAAATGCGAGCAAGTTTAGTTGACCAAAAAGGGGGGCACCGGTCCGGACCGGGGCCGGTGATTAAGCCATATTAGCCATATATGTAAGCGGGCCCAGACCATTTCGACCACCCGATCTAACCCCCTGTGCCTCTCCTTGATCTGTTTACAGGAGACATTGACGATTGCATTGTGACGCCGACGGTTCAGGGGCAGTTCACCCCGCTGCCGGAGGCACTGTGCGACGTGATCATGGACCTCACCGCCGAGGGTCAGTCGGCCACCATCGAGCATGTGCGCGGCAAGCTGGGCACCCGGTTCCCGCACATGACCACCCCGGCGACGGAGGTCATCTACGACACCCTCGCCCAGCTGATGCAGGAGCAGAAGATCTACCAGACCTCAAAGGGATACTTTATCTTTACGCCAGAGTGAGTACACCAATCCTTTAGGATAGTTTCATCATTAAACTTAAGCGCTATTCTTTTCCAGACGACGACGCAGTCGATCCCGACCACGAAGCAATCACCATCAGCTGAACGGAAGCCTGGCCAGCTATGGTCAACTCACGGAGGAGGAGCACCAGCAAGGCAACGATGTGGTGCCACTGGAGGCACGCACCATGCTCATGTCCAATGCGGAGGCACTGCACTCGCTGTACGGCGAGATATCAACGGAGCGGGACGGCGACCTCACCCATCAGTGCATCCAAACGAATCTGGCGGATGTGATCTGCGGAGGTGGGTCTTCACTATCTGCAATGTCATCGTTCGGTTTACCATTTCTGATTTCCGATTTGTAATTTATAGGCAATCCCAATGACAAGATCATCTATCCAAGGGCGGCCAAGCGACGTAGTGCATCATTTCCGACGCCCCGCAGCTTGGAGAGGCGGCACAGTTTGAGGCTCTTTGGCTCGTCGAAGCGCCTGCAACGCTGCGCCTCCACCAGAAGTCTGTCCAAGACCTATGCCCAGACGCTCAACACCACGGACAGCAGCAGTTCGGAATACCAAAGCACAGATTCGTCATCCCCCAGTAAGCTTTCAAGATTAGGCCTTTTCCTAGTAGACCCTAAAGGCTGCATTTTTTTTTTAGAAAAAGGATCTTTGCTCTCACGCCTGTTCCGACGCAGCGGTCGAGCCAAGCAGCGACAGATAGAGACCTACTCTGCCCAGTTCCCGCCGGCCGAGTGGTTTAACACCAGAGCCGTACACCTCCACAGCGTGGGCACCCAGACGGCAGAACACGTAAGTCTCACAAAAAGGATAATGATTCAAAGAATTACTTTCTGATTCAAAACAGGACCTGCCCGTGGCCCACACCCTCTCCAATTCGACGTTCTACGATGGCTCGGAGCTGAGCCAGCGCTCTTCCACGCTGCCCCGCCGCCACCGCCGGCACATGTCCAGCGAGTCCACCTTCCTGATTTCCTCCCGGGACTGCTCGCCCATTCGCCGCCGCTCGCCGGTCTACTGCAGCAGCTCGCTACCTCGCTCCACGCAGTCGATACCGGCCACCACGGCCAAGACGAACCACTCCTCGCGCCTGGGACACGGCCATGGCTCGGTGACGCCAACGCCCCCGAAGACGGCACAGAAATCGGTGATCGGAAAGCACATCTTCGAGAGCTCACCGTCGCGATCGGGCACGCTGAAGGCGACGGCCGCCAAGCGCCAGACGGACGGACTGATCATCAACAGCTGCCTGGACAACAAGGCCACCTACAGGAGCCTGCAGAGCAGCGGGCCCTCCAGCCTGGAGTCCTGCAAGACCTCGATGCTCGCCAGCGGGCCCTCGAGCATCGACAGCGGCAAGGTGTCCTTCAGCCAGAAGACGAGTGGCCACTCTAGTCTGGACTCGCAGTGCTCCACGAACACGGCGGTGGTGGCGCCGCCCAGCAGCAATGGTGGGAGTTCCCGCTCCATACTCTTGCTGAACGGTTCCCCCCGCGGGACGCCGCGCCACCAGGCCATGCGGGCACGAGTGGCGGAGGCCCAAGCTCAGGCCCAACGGCAAAGAGCCAGCACGCCCAGTCGCATCCTGGAGGAGATGAGCTACTCCCCGGGCCACAGCAACCAAGGCGGAGTGTCCACCTCCAATAGCAACAACTCGATCACCCTGCAGGTGACCACCTCGAACGGCAACCAGAGCATCCCCAGCACCAAGATTTTCGTGCAGAACTCCCCAGTGCGCAGTGTGATCACCCTGGAGAATGGCAAGATGCTGGAGAACTCCAACGTCTTCATCATCAACAACGAGACCATGACCAATGAGAAGGGCGAGATCATCAAGAAGACGCTCTCGAAGCAAACCTCCTCCCCAGCGGCATCAGCAGCTCCGGCCGCCACGTCCACGCCAGTAAAGCCAGAGACCGTGTCGGAGCAGCCGTTGAGCGAAACGGAGGCCAACTCGGAGACCTGCGACTCCATCTCCTTCATCTCGGAGTGCTCGCCGGAGAACACCTGCCCTGTGGAAACGGCCCCCGAGACTCCCAGCTACGATGGCGGCAAGTACGCCAAGAACACCAATAACGATGCGACGATGAACAACAGCCGGAAGCTGTGCCTCCAGCTGGCCAATGGCATTGCCTACAAGAACAATGTCCTGAAGAACGAGTCGCAGCCCAACTCCCCCAGCGCCGAGCAGCCCCTGAAGCTGGCGGCTCTGGCCAAGCAGGACTTTGAGATCGCCGGCTCGGTGGGCAACCTGCACTTCTACGAGAAGAACTCCAAGGATCTGACCGAGAAGCTGATGAACAGCAGCTCCGACCTGAAGAACCTCTGCTACGAGTCGGTCTGCCAGCTGCAGAAGTGCTCCATGAACGGGGACGAGCTGGCATTGGCGCATCTGCTGCACAAATCTAGCAACCCCCTGGGCAGTGAACCCAATCTGGCCCTCAAGGACCTGGCCAACGACAAGTCCATCGACAAGGAGGCCATCGACCGGAGGCTGAGCCTCACCAAGGAGTCCCTGGAGCAGGGCATGGGCAATGTCCTTTCCGGTGGCAACGAGGAGCTCTACAACTTTCCCAGTCTGACGGACTTGTCCTTCAACTTTACATCACTGGCGGCCCGGAAGATCCTGCAGGGCGTGAGCCTCAATAGCATCGATACCCTGGTGGAGCTGAACATGGCAGCGGCGGCGGCAGCGGCAGCGGTGGCGAACAGCGCCCAGGAGAAGCAGCAGAACAACCAGCCGGCGACAGCAGCACCCACAGCCTCCGTGTGCACCGACTTTGGAATGGTTTAGACTTTAGACTCTAAAGGCCTCATCTCCGTCCGACAGAGACCCGGACTGTGGATCCCGGAGAGAGCCTGTTAGTTTAATCAAAAAAACGAAATCAAAAACGAGGAATGGAATGAAATCTTTCCTTATACCATGTCTAGATAGGAGACATCCAGATATCTTTGCATTTGAGAAGCAATCTTGTGTAATTTATTACGATTTAATTTCCCCCGAATTCGATAGCAACAATTTGTATGTATTTGTTTTTAGGGTTTCCATCCGAAAAAGCATCTTTTGTTTACAGTGCCAAAATACGTTTAGTTTAATTTTAATTCTTACTATTTCATGTACTACTTATATAGTGTAGTATATGGTATGCCAGTTCGTATTTTGAGTCGCCAAGCGACTGTCTGGTTTAAGCAATCTGATTTTATGTAAAGATCCTTATTTTTGTGTACATTATTCAAAATAATTGTTTATACTAACACAACACAACACACATACGCCCAAAATGCAATCCTATCTATACGAAGGCGATTCGCAGCAGATCATAATGATATACAGTACTACGAGCATAGAGTTTAGCACATAAATACCAGAAATACAATAATTTTTGTACAAGGCCTTAATTAGTAAAGTCAGCAATAATACAAAATAAGTTCAATCACTAATAAAACGATAAAAAAACGATAAATTTTTGGGCTTTATTTTAAACATAAAAGAAGTTGAAGTTAAAATATCCTTTGCGGTTAAAATCTTTATTAGAAAGATTAAACCACTTGAAAATGGTTTTTCCCCTTAGGGTCCACAGTGATGGCTATATCTTCCCCAATTCTCATCCGATTCTCAAGCGGAGTACCTTAAACAATTTCTAGATCGATTCTCCACAATTCTACATCAAAACCCTGAGACAAAATATTTTTCAGATTTTTTGTCCATTTTTCCTGATGGGACCCCTTGAAAATGGGGTTTTTCCTTATATGCCCCAGAGAGATGGCTATATCATTCCCAATTCTCATCCGATTCTCAAGCGGAGTACCTTAAACGATTTCTAGATCGATTCTCCACCATTCTGCATCAAAATCCTGAAACAAAATATTTTTTTGATTTTTTGTCCATTTTTCCTGATGGGACCCTTGAAAATGGGGTTTTTCCCTATACAGCCCACAGTGATGGCTATATCTTCCCTAATTCTCATCCGATTTCCAAGCGGAGTACCCTAAACGATTTTTAGAACGATTCTCAACCATTCTGCATCAAAATTCTGAGATAAAATATTTTTTAGATTATTTGTCCATTTTTCCTGATGGGACCCCTTGGAAATGGGGTTTTTCCTTATATGGCCCAGAGGGATGCCTATAACTTCCCCAATTCTCATCCGATTCCCAAGCGAAGTACCTTAAACGATTTCTATATCGATTCTCCACCATTCTGCATCAAAATCAAATCCTGAGACAAAATATTTTTTAGAGTTTTTGTCCATTGTTCCTGAAGGGGGAATCAACTTTAAATCAACTCGAGAGGTGATCCTGACTAAGAAAATAGGATCGGAGATGTCTCCTTCACTGCGTTGCTCACCAAAATTTTGACCAAAATTATAATACCCTCTGCAAGGGTATAAAAATATACATATCTTTTATTGACTCATTCGGAAGTACGTCAGAGACTCACCTGGAATGTATAGCTTCTGGCCTTATCAAGCCTTTATCTATGGTCTTATCTATAGAAAAACAAAACTTTCCGGAACAACAATTACTTTAAAATGCATTTTGTTTTGAAATACTCTAGATAATATTTCTTCATAAAATTATAAGAAGACTACCCCCAAAAGCACGTCTCTCGATGCATACCTACAGCAAGGATAGATCCGGGAGTAATACTCTATATAGAGTGAAGAATAGCTTCAAACATTACAAAAAATATTCTTGCTGGAATATGGTTTTGAGAATAGATCTCCCAATACTTTAGAGCCTATAGGGATCATGCTGGACATATTTTCAACTTCAAGGCAAAGTAATAGTCCTTTTTCTAGTCCTTCAACTCCTTCACCACTGATAAGTCTATGTAGGCCACCCCCTTCATCCAAATAAAATAATCTATTGGTATTATTTCTTTTCATTTATTGAAATTTTCAAGTCTTTTGCTTTTTCATATACATATTGTTTTTGTTTTGAAACTTTTATATACTTTTGCGTCCGCGTTCGGGTTTTGCGTTATACTCGTATTTAATATTTTAGGTTTTGGGTAGTTTTGGCTCTATAAATATGAATAATTATAGCTAATTGCTTTTAAATTAATATTCAAGGTATATACACGCACACACACGCGGTATATACTACGCGAATTTTTTTTATTTTGGTTACACAAACGTACTTATATAGATGGTTTGGTAAAGAAAATATATATAATATACATAGCGCGCATTTAACGGGGGTGTGTGTGTTACATAATATATGCTAATAGATCTACATAGATAGATCGCAATCGATAGAGGATTAGATTAGAAAAAGGGTATGGACTTTTAGTAAGTTGTTGTTTGAAAGTTGGTGTTTTTTTTTTTTGGAGAAAGATTAGAATTATACAATTATGTGTATTATGCATAATATTTAGCAAATAGTTATTTTTTTCGAGTGTATATATATATATATATATGTTTACCGTTGTATATACAGTTTAGTTTTAGAAACTTATTTTAGTGCTTTGTAGATAGTGTTTGTGGAAACAGATAATCGTTGAATTTATTTACAATAATATAAGTAGAGAACGAAGGAACATTCAAGAATTCACTATATACTCTCAAGCAGTTAGGTGTTAGGTTCTGAAGATAAATGGCGTTCGGTTCGTTTCGATTCGGATTTAACAGATATTTCTAAACAGATTTTGACTTAGACCTCCGTCGACCGTCCGTTCTCGTCCGTGCGGGAGGCCTTCCTCTCCCGACCCGGTATCCTGCCTGTGAGGGGCTGCGCCTGCGCCTGGGCCTGAGCCTGAGCTTGTGCCTGAGCCTGTGCCTGAGCTTGCAGTTGTGCCTGTTGCTGCAACATTTGTTGCTGCTGCAGCATGTAAGCAGCCTGAGATTGTTGCACAAAGTTGGCGTGGGTGTAGGCCTGCATTCCCGGTGCTGCATAGACATTCGGAGTGGCTATTGCCGCCGTGGGTGGCATGTTGAAGCGCATCTTGGCCGCTGCCGCTGCATTGGCTGCCGCAGCTATGGCGGCGGCATTATCCCGAGAGGCGCTCGACGTGGTGGTGGACTGGAACGAGATGCTCATGCCGCTGTCCAAAGAGCCCACGCTTCCCCTCCTCTGAGGTTTCTCGTTGCCAACTAAGGGTAGAAGACAAAAGGTTAGTAATCCTCTAGAGAATCTCTTAGAGTAGCAAACTTACACTGCTCGTGCATGTCCAGGAGACTGTTGCTCAGCGCACTGCGCTTCAGCTGTTGCGTGGAATCGGCCGAGTTGGGTGCCTGCTCCCCGGCTGCCTGGGATCCCGCCTGATAGGGACATGGACACACCTCCACATCGGCCACACCGCTGTCCCGGTTCTCGGCATTGCCGGGGGCCCGGTTGCGCGCCGACTTCTGGCGCTCCAGCTCGGCCTCGATGCGCAGCGACTCCATTTCGTCCATTTCGCTGATCGACTCCTTGAGGTCCTCGGCAAACTTGCAGCGGTCGTGCTCGTTGCGGGCATTGAACGTGATCAGGATCTTGCCGTCCACCTTCTGCGACAGCTGGATGCAGAACGGATAGTTGGGCATGTCCAGCAGCGTCACCACAGTGCCGCACAGCGGGAAGCTGTTGCGGAATGTGTACGTGACTGAGGTCTTCTTTTTGCTGAAGATCTTCGTGATGACGAGCAGATCGTTGAAGAGGAACACCTCCCGCTGGTGCACACCCGGTCGCTCCTTCTTGTTCACATCGGGGATTTCGTAGAGGCGGCAGTAGCAGACCAACCGGCGATGGGGCAGGGCCAGATTCGGTTTCTTGCCGACAATGGTGGCCTGGACCTTCATCACCTGAGTGACGTGGTCGCTGCCGGGCTTGAACTCGTCCGACTTGACGCGCTCGTAGATGCCGGTCAGCATGTCCTTGTCGATGTCGTGGCAGTCGTCGATGCCGCGCAGGTTCTTGATGAAGTCCTCGACGCGCATCCGACGCTCCGGTTTCAGATTGGGCGTATGCAGATCCGTGTTCAGCATGATGATGGCAAAAGCCAGGACAAAGATCTACGGATAAGAGGGTAACAGGTTAGTGGGTCTACTAAAGTCTAAGTATATCCTGATGACTCACCGTATCGGATGATCTTAGTCGCCCCACGATATCGGCATTGCACTCGCAGTAGCGCTGCGAGAAGATCTCCATCAGACGTTCGATCTTCTGCGCCTCACCCGGCATCCGGAAGTAGGCCTGGAACTTGCGCAGAGCCACATCCACCTGCCGGCCGGACAGGTCCAGCTCCATGGCGAAGCAGCTGAGCACAGCCATGTTGAACTGGTTCTGCAGGTTGCCCAAATACTCGCCGATCATCTGGCGGGAGAGACCCTTACGGGTGATCAGGAACCGGGCCACTCCCTGGGGCGTGTTCTCGAGGAAACCCCGCCGAATCAGATAGGTGATGCCCTTCTCCGGCTTCTTGTTGAAGAGATTCAAGCCGACGCGGTACTGCCTCTTGCGTATCGTCTCCGACATCTTGTAGTTCTGGGCCACCCCAGCGGCCGCGGCCGCCGCCTGCAGTTGCTGCTGCTCGTGCTGCTGCTGCTCATGCTGCTCGTATTGGGCGGCGCTCGTGTGCGAGGATATAGCATGGTCGTCGGCCGGGGGCAGTCCACCCACTGCGGTGGCAGCTGCCACTGCGGCCTGCATCTGGGCGGCATAGCCACCAGCTCCGCCGCCAACTCCATGGCCGGGGGCTGCTCCAGCCGAGTCCGCGGAGTGGGTGGAGAACTGCTGGGAGCTGTTCAGGGCTGTGCCGCGCTTCCATGTGTGGGGGGAGTTGCTGCGGTCCGAGCCCAAGTCACTGTTCATGTTGCGCTCCGCGGAGGTGACACTCGAGTCCGAGCCGGAGCTCTGCACGGAGGTCAGGCTGCCGTTCTCCGCCGTCTTGCAGAGCCCGTTGGTTCGCAACAGCGACGGAGGCGGTGGCGTCTGTCGCTGCAGCAACAACAGCTGGCTCTGCTGCTGGGCGGTTATGGAGCTGGTCCGCTTGGGCACCTCCGGCGGCACCTTCTTGCCGCTGCCACTGCCCCCACTGCCGCTCCCTGTGCTGCCGCTGCAGCTGGGCGTGGGCGTGGTGCTGCCGCCCTTGGGTCGCATATAGATCTGGGCCGCCGAGTAGTAGGGCGTGTGCGGGGAGTGGCCGGTGGTGTTGGCGCTGCTGGAGTTCACCCAGGAGGCGTTCAGAGAGGTATCCGCCGAGCTGGCATAGCTCAGGTCATGTGGCGAGCCATGGTAGCTGGTGTAGTAGGCGGCCGCTGTGGGCATGGCCTGGGCGTTGTAATAATGCGGCTCGGCGGCATGCAACAGATTCACGTGAGGATGCGAGGCCAAGGCACCAGAACTGGCCGTTGTGCTGGCTATGGAGGCGGGGGAGGCTCCTGTTTGATAGAATTTCGATTTAGTTAGTAGGGGTTACTAAGTAGTTTAGTCACTTGGATTAGGAGGCACTATTCTTGAAGATTTCATCATGAATGCTTTTGGAACCTGACCTGCATTCCATTAGAGAAACTCATTCAAGTCCTAAAAGTTAATCGATGTTTTATAATTCCACCCATAAAGATAAAATTCCCTACAAAGTTAAGACGCAAATAATTTACTTTCCTTTTAAAAAATCTTAATTTATTCAAGTATTTACTTAAACTTGAAAGAAATGTTTACCTTTTAACGGTCAAGGCTTACAGTTCGCTACCCTCAGGAAAGTCTGAAAAGGTCACCATAAACCCCCGATAAGGTAAACCAATAAAAACCACTTCATGGAAATGCTAAAAAGTTAAGGGGGGTACTGCTCACCAGAAATAATAAAAAAAGGAAGCCACTTTCCAAAGAATATATGCAAACTCAAAGATAGTATTTCTTCCTCAAAGATAGTTACCATCCAAGCTATCCAAGCTATCCAAGTTATCTCTCCAGACACTCACCTGACTGACTACGCGGTATGGGACTGCAGTCCAGCTGACGTCGCTCCCGCATGGAAAGTGAACGCGTGGGCGGTGTCCGCGATAAGCCCGGAGAAGCTGCTCCCGGTGGACCCGCCATGATCGTGACACGTGGCTGTTGTTGTTGTTGTTGCTGGTGTTGTTGTTGCTGTTGCTGCTGTTGCTCCAGTTGAGATTCTGTAACACTGCCATAGGCTGAGGAGGTGGAGGTATTGGTGGCATCCGCCTCGGCCAGGGTCATGTTGCTGGCCGTAACGACCATGCGCCGGGATAGACGCTTCTCGGCCTTGGCCATGGCCGTGATGGAGGCGAACTTCTTCACCATCATGTAGTGGCGGAAGGCGCGCTGAATGGTCACCGCTGCGTTGCGGGCTCGCAGACCGCCGTACTTGCGCTCCAGCAGCTCGATCTGCTTCTCGAGCAGATCTTGCGAGAGTTCGTAGCTGCAGAAGATGGAAGAAAAGTATCTGATAAGTATCCGATCGAGTATCCGGTTCTCGAATATGCCGCCGCCTAGCTTGCTTCGAAATTTGCAAATAACTGTGAATGTGAGGAGACGCCCGCCGCCGCTATAGACCCCGATAAGATACCGCCACGAGTATCTTTTGAATACAACGAGTATCTTTGGCGTCGTCGACCTGATTAGACTCTGCGCTCTTGGAGGGGCGGCTATAATAATATGGCCCATTGGCACAGGCTGACTAATAAGCTATAGATTCCTAGTCACAATTACCCGATTAAATTGGCAATTAAAATGGTATTTTTGGGAGATCCCCCCAATTCTCCCCACTGCTGTCTTTTGTTTGCAAAAATCAGATGATGTACTGCAGTCTTCTATCTGCTATCTTGTGACGAAAGAGAGTATCTTATCTGAAAGATACCAACTGGATACCTTTTTCACCACGATGATTTGGCCAAAATGGAGGCTAATGGCGAACAAAGTCCAGAGTCATTAAGGCACACTTTTTGCTTCCATAGATAACTTAATTAGATCAGCGATAAGGGGCTACTGTAAGATACTTTATAAGGCTCTTAATGACCCTAAGAATCGTCTACAGTTGCTAGACTAAGTTTATAGTTTAGTTTCTTAAACAAAAAACAAATACTTATCAAGAATCGTGGTATAAATTCTTGAAGAATTCTTCAACTGATAAAGTGATTAACTTTTCACTCCATGACTGGTCTCTGACATATCGCTAAGAACTGATAAGTTTCCATCTCTGATCTGTGACCTTATCAGAGTGGAGGTTTAAAAATAAGTACTATATTTATGGTAGACTTTCTTCCAATTAATTTAATAATCTCTCCAATTCTAATTCGAAAAACCATCTGCTGTTCGTTAGTGTTGATTTTGGAGGTCCCTACCCATGGCTCCCCTAATAAAGTTACCCAAAGATAAGGCCGATTTCCCGGAAAACTCCCCCCAAGCTGAGAAATAAATCCCCCAAGCTCCCACCCCTCAGGCTTGATACTTACGCCGACTGCGCCCTTGTCCGCTTGAGGACATCCCCTCCATTCCGGATGGAGTTCTTCTTGTGCATGCCCTGCTGCTGCTGCTGTTGCTGGTGCTGCATCATCACACTGGTGGCTCCGGCCCCCAGACCAGTGCCAACTCCACTGCCCGCTATGACCACCGCCCCACCATGGCCATGATGATGGCCATGCCCGTGGAGCATGTGATGGTGGTGGTACTGACCCGCCACCTGGACATAGTGACCGGTGGCGGCCTGGTGGAGGTGCTGGTGGTGATGCTGCTGTTGCTGTTGCTGCTGCTGATGGCACGTGGGATACTGCTGGATCTGGTAGACCATCTGGGGATGCTGTTGCGCAGGATAGTTGATGGCGGCGGAGGCGCTGTGGGCCCCGGGAGCATAGTGGTTCTGCAGGTAGACATAGCCGCCGACACTGCTGCCGTCGGTGGAGGTACTGACGGATCCCTGGGGTGGTGCGCCAGCCAAATCGTACTGGGTGGAGCCACTGCGTTCCAGGCTCTTCTGGGGAAAGCTGAAAGTAGAAGAAATACAAGATATTGATTAGTTTTTTGGAATATTATTTGGAGTATAAATCTTCCATTGACATCCAGAGGTGTGTGTTGTCTTTCAAAAACCCAACCTTAAAGCTATTTTTTATCGAAAAACCCGATAAGAGAACTTTCGTTTTCTGGGTCAGGCTGGGCGCGGGGTTCTCCTACCTTTCGCCAATTATAAAACCCGATATGCAAATGATCATGATGGCTGCTCAAGATCTATAAACTGGGCAGAGTCTGGTCTGAGTCTGGGAGATGATCACACATAAGGCACACTGGTAGATATATAGGTAGATATCCGCTAGATCGTTTTAATTAATCCACTTCTGAATGATATGTCGGTCTTGCGGGGAGGAAGCACTATGGAAGACCCGATCCCGTTCGCGTTCGCGTTTCAACTAAACCGAGCCCTCTGCGAGTGCCCGGCAAGGTGAGAGCAGCGTAGGCACTGCGCAAGCGCGTCGGCGTCCCTCTGTCATTCTGTCCCTTTCACGCATCAAAACGTGTTTCGCATGCCTCATTAAGTGCGTGTGCGTGCGAGGGAGTAGGGAACACCTACTACTCAGGCCTTCAAACGAAGCCCACACGAAAATGCATCTGTTTTTGTTTAGAACTCGTCGGGTTACCCAAAAAAAAAAAGAACAATTGAGGGGCTCTTCAACAAAGGAACAGGAAAAAAATATAGAAATCCCAAGTGTAAAAGGATCCATTAGCCGACAGAGACAGACAGACATAGAGAGGGGGATGGCACTACCAAAGCCATATGCTGGATGGAAAGTAAAGGAAATTATTAGCCAACGATGACAAACTTATAGATAGGTGCAGGATCAGTTCAGGATCTGTTGAGATCTTTCCAGTCTCTAAGACAGGATGCAACAATTGAGGTGATCATAAAGGAGATTTTTGCAGGGATAAATAGAGGAAAGAGAGAGAGATTCTATGGGGGGTTGGGGGTTAAGCAACAGATGAGACTCAGAAGAAAGAGAGGTATTTTGAGAGATATTTCTGAGATTTTTCATTGAAACTTTTCTACAGAATCTTTCAAAGTCGGTGTTTTTTTAAAAATAAGGTATAAAAAATGATAAAGTTTTATAAGGCAAAGGTCAAACCTAATATACCTATAGATAGCTTAAAGAAGTTTCAATAGAAAATCAAAGAAATATGTATTAAACTATATTTAAGATATGGTATTATAATATAGTCTTTCCACCTCTGTACCTTAAACTCTTTAAACTCATCTGTAGCCCTCATCCTCCTTAGATCTATTCAAAAATCACTATCCCTAGGCTCTTCCTTCTCTTCCTAATCTACTCACCTTAGTAGAATAATTGATTTCAGCTCATCTAGAACCTTAAACCTAAAAAAAGATCACCTTAAAATCATAATTCGATTCGGTCTTAATTCATTATCTACGAATGCCATTCCAATAGCTACCAAAAATCCAAAAACGAGAAATCTTTCCAAAATAATAAAGCACCACAGCTGGACCTTCTCTGTCAGAAAATAACAGAAATTAAAATTTCGAAGGCAGCTGCATATTTGCACCTAGCCAGGAGGAGTCGGTTGAAAAACAGGATCAGCAGGATTGCTATCCGAAGGATAACGAAAACATCAAATTGAAAGGGGCATCCTTTTTCCAGCCTGCACCTGGCGTGTCTTTGTGTGGGTTTTTTTTTTTTTTTTTTTTTGTTGGGTTTAGGTTGCTTTAAAGGACAACAACAGCAGGTAGTTTTGCTCAGCAAACTGGCTTGTTATTGTAGCCACTACTCCGCACCACTCTCTGCTCTCTGGTCCTTTTGATTTCTTCAACAGAGTCCTGCTTTCGAGTCCAAACTCCGAAAAAGAAAAACATCTGCCACACGTCGCCCTAATTGTTTGCCGTTGCACGTTGCACATGTTTAGCTTCAGATACAGTTTGCACTGAGAGATACTTTTCAAAATAAACCGACCTTCTTGTTGAAATGTTGACCTAAAAAATAAAACTTTTTCTTTCAGTGTCTGTTGGCCTTACTGACCATCCCTCAGGCAAGTATCTACCGCATCTGAATATCTCGTATCTCGTATCTTGTATCTTGTATCTCAGCTGACACATAAGTGTCGTCGCTCGCGAGCCAGAACTGCCCTGCTGCCAGGGCCTCGTTGCAGTTGCCACTTCCTCCTATTTTGTATGCAACAAGTGCCTCAGATTATTGACGTGACCGCTGACCGCCTTTCCCGAAGCGCACTCGACCCGTAATTATTATTGATTTTACATTAGTTTTTTTTTTAAAAAGGCTTAACGCTTATGGAGTGTGCCACAAGCAGGCCAGACAGTTGGGGTTGGGGGCCTAGACCCACCCCGACCCAAAGTAAAAGTACAAACAGACCGCTTCTGCCTATCGCATGCCATGTATTTCCCACATGAATATCAATATCAACAGAACGACCATTTTAGGCAATTGAATCATTCCGGGCATCCTGCCGTCGGTGACAGTCTCCACCCTGGTTGGATCTCCTCATGGGTCGGTTAGCCTCCAGAAGGAACAGCTGCCGGTCGGCGGGCGCATCCTGGTTTTGCAGGAAAATGGCCAACGGGACGCCCAGAATCATCAGGACCACACAGGCATAGGCCAGGAGGAAGTAGGTCATGTCCAGGCCGGCCAACTCCTCGAGCTTAGTGACCGACTTCTCCAGCAACATCATTATAAGCATGCTGACGGTTGAAATATTTTAAAAATTTGGAAAAACCCAAAAAAAAAAAAAAAGAAGCAAGTGAAGGATAAGAAAAGGATACTTTGATTCAAGAATTCTAGAATGTATAACACTCTTGAAAGTGGATGGTATGTATCTGTTATATAGTTGGCCCAAAAGTATGCAACATTTTTTCTATAAAAGCACCTTAACCTAACATCCACATGAAATCCACATGTATTTTACCCAAGTTTCAAACCAAAATAGCATTCCCCAAAAGAATATTTATGTTTTTAAGAGTTTTTTAATAAAAAAGACTACATTTCTGCTAACTGTAATACAGTAAGCTTAAATATATTATAAATTTTATACCGATAGACTGGTCTAAGAATAGCCAGCCCATAAAACCTCACCAGTCATAAGAACAATGCCGTAGAGTTCCATAAAGATAAGTGATATAATAAAGAATGTGGGCGATAAGAGCGGCACTTGGAAGAAACTTCCCATTCTTCCCCAATAATCTAATAAAGTTCTACACCCTTATTTCTTTCAGTGCCACCCACACAGCTGTTTCTAAATCCGAATCCAAATCTGGATCACGACGCTTACCTGACCGCCGTCACATGGTGCGAGGTGTGGGTCTGGGTCTCCTTGTGCCTGGTGGAGAGACTAACCACCGTTACGTGCCTGGTGGCAGTGCGCACCACCCGTCGCACCCGACTCCGCCCATCACCGACCACCACCACAATGGGCGGTGGTCGCTTCTCGTTATCGCTGCAATATTGCAGGAAGGATTCGGCGGCGCCCAGGTCCGAGTGGCTGCTGGAGTGGGCGGAGGAGGTGGAGAGGGGGGCCGGAACAGGCAGCTGTTGGCAGCGACGGGACTTGTGGTTATCGTGGCACCTCGACATTCTGGACTGATGGACTTGGAATGCAATTGAAGAGGGCGGGTGGTGGTGGTGGTGGTTACTTTCGCCTTCAGTGTCATGCAATTATTAATTGAATTTCCCTTTTTTTGTTGTTGTTTTCTTGTTGTTGTTACTTTCGTTGATTTATTAAAAAATCGATGGTTTCGATGGTTGATTTTTTATTGAATTTTTTAAATTTATTTACGATCGCCTTTGCATCATTCTTTGCCATTTTATCTTTGGTTTAGTTTTATTTCACTTTCCGCGTCGCACGACTACATAATTGTCATCGAAGACTATAAAAATAATGAATTTTTCACTATGATATTAGTTGAACTTCAAGTCGAACATTGCTCATACGCCCCGTATGCCACCGAGCTATTGAGAATGCCCTTCAAAACGCGTTTGTCATAAAAACAATACATAGAACTACACGGTTTATGGCTTGGAGAACCGGCAATTACTGGGGTTAGAAAGCCACTGAGAAATAGAGAATTAGAGAGAGAGAGGCAGAGGAGGAAAGGCAGGAAGGTAGGTCTATATAAGTCTCATATATAGAGAACCTTAGATACCAAATACCTAGTTTAGAAGAAATATATTTTTTGAATCATTTTTCCTGCTTAAATGATTCACTTTTCTTATAAGGAGAGTTATGGCATTTATTCATAAGACATGTCCATACTTGTCCAAAAATATCATAAAAATCTAGTTGAGAATTATAACAAGAAATACCCAAAATGACTCATCTTTTATAAGATCTCACTTGTAAGCCCTCTCTATGATCGTTCATAGCTTATAATACCCTTTAATTTTTTGCTCAACCTACTGACTACTTTATGCAGAATGACACTTGCATAAAAAACTAAAAATAAAAAAAACTAAACTGTTTTTTGTTTATTAAAGCGACAATGAGAGAGTTGCAAGTCGCAGTTCGCAATCTCATTCAATCAGCTTTTGCTTCTGTATCGCTTTTTAGGTCAGCTTGGATCGGTTGATCGTCGATCGGCAAGTAAAAGTCGCCACTTGTCAACTGCAGACTAGAAAAAATATAAAAAAAAAACAAGAAGAGAGAGTGGGGGAGAGACTGGCATATAAACAATATTCAAATTGAAAATGTGAGACACGCAGAGACATCGAAGCATAATAACATCCATTTGGCAATCGATCGAGACAGGTGTTTATATCCCAGACAGACAGACAGGCAGACGTGTTGAGGAAAAGTTGGAAAACTAATAGAATTTTTGGTTATTTTTTTTAGATTTCTAACTAACTAGATTTATAAGATATCGTGGGTGATCTAATTAGCTTGACAACCGCTGACCTGATCCACTTTGCACACAAAGGCCACCGAATGCCGACCAACCTCGTGATCATAAATCATATGAAAATTTATGTGAAAAGTGCGTGAGAATTTGCAATGAAAACAATGTGTGATACATCGCGAATAGAAAGGGAAACAAGATCCAAGATCAAGATCTCCATATGCCCATAAATATGCATGGTATGGTAGCCCCCACACTTTCTACCCGTAAATCTTGATGTTTCTTTTTTTTTTTTTTTTAAGTTCAAGAACCTTTTTTGAGAGCCTCCAGAAGAGACTTGAAACTGATCCCCAGGCAGAGACATCTCTGTTACAATTGTGACAACACTTGCCACTGTCTCTTCTCCATAAATACAAATATATATATATATAGTATATTATATACCGCATGAATCGAGTAAAAAGCTGTTCAAACAAACGAATTTCTGCTACGAGCTGACGATAATCTCACGACTGTGAGGCCCAGCCTTGGAACAAGTCATGGAATTATTGGCCAAAACAAGTCGCCTACTGCCAATAAACGCTTCAGGGGAGTTCTCAATCACAATCGCTTAGAATACCAGCTATACCAGAGAGCCCACTCACAAAACTCACAAAACTCACGAATCTCAGAAATAAAGAACAGAGACCTGACAACAGCTTTTAGTTGAATATTTTTTTTTTTTTTTTGTTATTTAGCAACTATTAGTGTGTGTTGTTATACTAGTTGTGCCCCCAAGTTGTGAGTGCCTGCCGGGCTGACTGCCTAGAACTATTCCAACTTGTTTCTTTCCGTCGATTCTAAGAAACTTTTGTTTGTAATTGCAATTTTGTTGAACAAGTTTTTGTTGTTTTTATAAGAAAATTCTGTTGCTTTTCTGGTTCATTTTTTAAATTATATGGTAGTATAGGTAGGTAGCTACCTTTGTTAATTATAAGACTAGTACTACCAAGTACTAGCAGTCTACCTTTAAAAAGTAACCTAGTTTTTCCAAAAAATTAGTTACAAAAAGCATGCTTTTTTTAATATTAAAGCTACTAAAATTTAAAATTCACCTTTTAATGGGTCTATAAAAATTTAAATAACATTCTCAATGAAACTAGTCTCCCATTTAAGTATGGTTATAGACATTTTTGGCTTTCAGCAGCTATTATTTTTAATTTTATTCAAAAAATCAATTTTGGGGAGTCATCACTGAATAAAAAAGAGGTGCTTTAGCTGCATCCGCTCTAGAGCACGACATCGAAAATCTATGGCTTAGGTTGCTACGGGTGTTGCACAGATAGCTGACTGGGTTTGCTTTTGTTTTACAGGTGTTCCTCCAATGCACGACCAACTGCAGCCACAATCAGTTGCAAAGCTGTTTTTCTTGCTTTTGTTGTATAATTATTTAATTTATAATTGTTTGTTGTACGCTCTCTGGCTCTCAGACAGATACAAAGACAAAAAAAACAACAAAGAGCAAGATTGGAGTTAAAATACTATAGATATATATTCTTTTTTTTCCCAGTGCACTTTCAGGGTATGGGATGTGGAAGTGGGTGGGGGAGAGACTTTCAGCCCGTGCCCGATGCCTTTTATTCACTTTCGTGTCATTAGTAACGGCGCACGTAACACAAAAAGCACAAACACACAACCACACACATACACACAGTTACTCCCTCTCTTCTCCTGAGTCAACTCTCTCTCTTCGGTAGGAGCTTGGAGCGGAAGAGGAAGTGGAAACACAATATGCAACAAACAACCAGCAACCATCCATCGCCGACTGCGGCGACGCAGCGTAATTGGGTGGCAGTGGCAACCGATTATTTAAGCCTGGCCAAGCGGCAAATGCAACAAAAACACAAAAAAGCAAGCTTAAAGCAGAGAATGAGTAATCCAAACATCCAAAAAGCAGCGTAAACGCACTGGAAAACGCATAAAATGCAAAATAAGAGCAAGAAGAGCAAGAGAGTCAAACACTGACTTGATTTTGTGGAATTGGAAGATCGGAGGCTTTCCAAGCTTTGTTTACCTTGCTAAATCAGCTGGTGGAGCAAAAAAAAAAGCATGCTTTTTTCAAGCAAATGTTTAAAATTGGAACTGATTATACATGGAAACTTTATGAATAAACATACATATGATGTTGTGGGCTTCACATTTTCTATTAAGACTACTATTTTTTCATCATGTATAAAAAAAAAGCCTGTTTTTTACTGTAAAAATCACCATAAAGAATGCTTTTTACTCAAAAATCTTAAATTTCAGCCTGATCCTAATTAGAATATTTATGAATAAACATATGATCTTGTTTGTCATAAAAATGGGCTTTAAATTTTCTATGAAAACTATTCTATTTTTCATACTTTATAAAAAAAGCATGCTTTTTCACCCTAATATTCACGAAAAAGTATGCTCTTTACCCGAAAAGCTTACAATTGAGCCTGGTCAGAATATGAATATTTATGAATATTCATTTGATCTTGTTTGACCCATGATACAATTATATAAGGTAGTCCATTCCACTGACATATCGTTCGGGTTTGCTCACTTAATTTCAAACTGTCAAACTGAAAGGTGATTTTGTTTTCATAACTTTAACCCTTAAGTGGCCAAGAAAAAAATGACTTTTTGCTATTATTGTCGCAAGAACGTGCTAGGCGTAAAGTTTGTGCTGTCCTTCATGTTTTTTTTTTTTTAATTTTTATCAGTTATTAATATCCTTTAAATGTAATTTAGCTAATTATACAGAATTATTAAATGGCAATCAAGACGATTCTGATGAGTGGTTGAATCTAGACTTTTCTCAAGCCGTCCAAAATATTAAAAACGAAGAGAACGAGCCTAAAGATTGCAATCTCCAATTTGATTGTGA